TACCTAGTAGTACAATTTAGATTCAGCCTCTCTGCACTTTCACTCTTCCGCAGGTAACTTACAGCATGCAAATAACTTAAAAATGAAATCACATAAAAATTATGCTATGGATTGGTGAACATATAATAAGGAGAAGTGGCAGCAGGGCCAGGAAACTCTAGGGGTTGGCAGTGGACCCCTTGAAGGGGTGCGGGCCTTGGCAGGTGCCCGATAACACCAGCTCCTGATGCTGGCCCTGCTAGGTGCAAAAAGCAAAGGTGTTTCTCTGTCCTTAGTTGGGTTAAAGGGAGAGCTGAAAGGTGCTTACTTCTAGCTCTGCTTTCAGCAGGGGTTGGCTGCACTACTGAGTTCCATATGACATCAAACCTGAGTTCCATCATGTTTGATGTTAGGTATAGGGAAGGTGGGTGTGGTTTGAGTCAATGGCCTTGCTGGCCAAACTGGAGCCCATGCTGGCCCTAATTACAACTCTGGGTCAAGTGTTCCCCACTCCTGGGTTAAACAGAACAAATGGAAAGGCAGATCATTTCATTCATTCGTTTTTGTTTTTACAAAGCCATCTTTATATTTTTCCCACATTACATCAGGGCCGAGGGAATGACTGGCTTGACTGACCTGTGGACCAGATCCGGACTACCAGACTTCTCCATCCAGCTTGCCAGGCCTCTCCTTTTAAGCCACACCCATGCAAGTTCTCTGTCTGGCCAGCTCACTGTTTTTTTCTTTCCAAATACTGGAAAAAGCAGAGTCCTTTCTCAGCACCCGGTGATAGAAAGCAGGGAGTTGGTGATCCAGTAAGATCCAGTTTGCAGCATTTCCTCTCTGTACACTGAGAGACAGGAGCTTCTCAGCGCACAGAGATGCAATTCAGTGAGAGAATAAGAGTGAGAAGGCGGAGGAGAAATAGAGGACAGGAAACAGTCTTTATTAAGTGTGTGTGTCAAGTGTGTCTGTGTGCTAAGTGTGTGTGTGCCTTTGTTAAGTGTGTGCATTTGCTGAGCCCCACCCATTTTTAGTCCAGACCAACCCACTCTTGGAATGCAGCCCCCCCATAGCTTTCCACCTCAGTAATGCAGCCCTTGGCCACCCCAAAAGAGCCTCTACCTCTGCATTACACAGACAAACATGCGTGGGCAAGATTGCTAGCTACACTTTTCCTGAAAGAGTCACTTTTCTGCGTTTATTTGCAGGGAAATAAGCAATGGCTCTTTTCTTCGTTCTCTCCCTTAGGGAGAGGTGGCAAGCCTCTAAATGCTGGCTTTTAAGTTGTTGAAGGAGGTGGTTGAGACATTGGGGGTTGGCCTGGGCCTTCCTCCAGTTTCTACTTCTCAGCTCTGTTTCCTCACAACATTTTCTGACTCACAGCTTCTCTCAAATCCAATTCAGGCTTCCTTGGAGGCAGCAATGCTTCAAAATACCAGTTGCTGTAAACCACAGGAGGGGAGAGTGCTCTTGTGCTCAAATCCTGCTGTCGGTTTCCCTCAGGCGTCTGGTTAGCCACTGTGAGAACAGGATGCTGGACTAGAGGGGCCATTGGTCTGATCCAGCAGGCTCTTCTTATATTCCTTCACATTAGGGTATTCAACAGGTTTCTGGGTCTGAGCTCTCTTTCATGCCCCAAGAGAGAGCCAGTGTGGTGTAGTGGTTAAGAGCGGTAGATTCGTAATCTGGGGAACCGGGTTCGCGTCTCCGCTCCTCCACATGCAGCTGCTGGGTGACCTTGGGCTAGTCACACTTCTCTGAAGTCTCTCAGCCTCACTCACCTCACAGAGTGTTTGTTGTGGGGGAGGAAGGGAAAGGAGAATGTTAGCCACTTTGAGACTCTTTCGGGTAGTGATAAAGCAGAATATCAAATCCAAACTCTTCTACTGAGCACCAATTTTTGGAACCATCCTTTGTGCCTTATGGATGTGATACCCAGGGGGTAGTGTCCAACAGAAGACAGTCAGATCTGCTTAAAGCCAAAGTGAATTAACTCAGATCTATTCAGGTCCAGCACCAGATTACAGGGGTTTCCCAGAATGATCCAGTTGATGAGGTGTCTTCACAATTGTCCTCTTTGCAGTGGCAGTGCCCCTTATTCCCTCTTCTCTGTCCCTGCCACTGTTACTTTGAAAAACAAACAGCTTTATTGCCATTGCAACAGTGGCAACAGCAGCTGCTTCTCTGCCACCTCTTCCGCATCTGGTCTCTGAGAAGGAATCAAAGAGGGGTCCTTCTTCAGAGACAGGTATTCTGTGGGAGCCGACCAGGAGAATGCCTGGGCTGCTGCCCAAGTTTATTTTAAAGGCTTATTTAAAAAGTATTTGTAGTTGCCATAGTAAATCACACAGTGCAGGTGTTTTCCTGACCACCTTTGATTCAGTTCATGCTTTTCGAAACAATACGTGAACACAGCCATCTTTTAAAGTCACACTTCTCCAAATTTGGCAATGCAATTCCCCAACCAAGTAATGTGGACAAAATTCCACACACAAGAATAAAATGTGCATATTAATGAAAACAACATACAAAATGTGTATATTAGAAGATAGTTGCATTGAAATATTGATGGATTTACATAAAGACTTTTTTAAAAATTGCAGACTATGTTAAAATATGGATAACTGAATTGGGAAAATGCAGAAGTGAAAGAAACTGAAACTGAGAGTCACCATCCCTGGTGCTACATCTCCCCTCATTTCTGGCACTCGAATGCTATAATATGAACAGTTTTAGGAATCCACAACAAATATTTTGAAAGCTCCCATCTTTTGGCATGTTAGCAAGTCATATATTTTCATGCACTGCCAATTATAGGAGGTCGCTGAAACAATGTTATCAGTATGCATGGCTAGAAAGACTAGGACGGGGAAATTAATAAAGGACTTCACAAGAAAAGGTGGGCTTCGAAGGAGCCAAGAGGGGTGAACATAAAAACCATACTAGATAATGGCTTATCTAGTCTAGCATCCTATTTCCCACAGTGACCAACAAAATGCCTTAGTAGATCAGGGGTAACCAACACAGTTCCCTCCAGATGTAGACTACAACTCCAATAAAGGTAAAGGTAAAGGTACCCCTGCCCGTACGGGCCAGTCTTGCCAGACTCTAGGGTTGTGCGCTCATCTCACTCTATAGGCCGGGAGCCAGCGCTGTCCGCAGACACTTCCGGGTCACGTGGCCAGCGTGACAAGCTGCATCTGGCGAGCCAGCGCAGCACACGGAATGCCGTTTACCTTCCCGCTGGTAAGCGGTCCCTATTTATCTACTTGCACCCGGGGGTGCTTTCGAACTGCTAGGTTGGCAGGCGCTGGGACCGAACGACCGGAGCGCACCCCGCCGCGGGGATTCGAACCGCCGACCATGCGATCAGCAAGTCCTAGGCGCTGAGGTTTTACCCACAGCGCCACCCACAACTCCAATAGTCCCTCATAATTGGTAACGCTGAGCGATGATGGGAGTTGTAGTCCAAAACATCTGGAGGGCACCATGTTGGCAATCTCTGATTTAGATGTTCTGATAGGGGCTTCAATGATTTGCTGGCTCTAGCTCCTTCAACCATTCCTCATAAGGCTTGGTTTCCAGACCCTTTGTCATCTTGGTTACCCTCCTCTGAACACGTTCTAGCTTGTCAACATCCTTCTTAAATTGTGGTTCCCAGAATTGGACACAGTATTCCAGGTGTGGTCGAACCAAGGCAGAATAGAGTGGTACTATTACTTCCCTTGAACTGGACACTAGACTTCCATTGATGCAGCCTAGAAGAGCATTAGCTTTTTTTGCTGCTGCGTCACATAGTTGACTCATGTTCAACTTGCAGTCCACCAAGACCACTAGATCCTTTTCACATGTACTGTTAGTAAGCCAGGTGTCCCCCATCCTATATTTGTGCATCTTGTTCTTCCTGCTTAAGTGCAGAACTTTAGATTTCTATCTTTGTTATCTTGGGCCCAGCTCGTTAAAGTCATGGTGAAATCTGATTCTGTCTTCTGCAGCCTTAGCTACCCCTCCCAGTTTGGAATCATCTGCAAATTTGATGTGCACCCCCTCAATCCCTTCATCCGAGTTGTTTACAAAGATTTTGAACAACGGGCCCTGAAAAACTGGCCACGTTTTTCCAGGATGATGAGGAACCATTAATGAGTACTCTTTGGGTTTGGTCAGATTATTTATCCCTGTCTCTTTTTACATTAAGTTGCATTAACACAAAATATTATTTCCTTGTGCTGCCTTAGTGTCCTTTCTCGTTCTGGGATTGCATTAACAAGGAAGAGTGGGTTATAACTATGGCAAATAAATAAACAAGATATAAAATACCTCAACATCTGTTAAGTCTTGCTGTGTGGTCAACTTTAAACTTTAAAAACTCTTAAAACTCAACTCTCTCCTTTGCTTTGGAGGGTTTTTTTTTTAATAAAATGCAATCCATCTGCAATAAGCAGCCCTTTCAAGAGACACCTGAGTTCTAGGAAGCGCCTCTCCTCAGCAAACAAACTCTGAGGAGCAGAAAAAGAGGAGCCTGAGAGGGCTGGATCAAGAGGTTTTGTTTCTCTAGGAACCCCAGGTAGGAATTTGGGTCCAGGGCTGTCTCGCTTCGGTGTTGCAGTGTTTATTTCTTTTTCCCCTCATGCCTTGGGTTGGGAACGTTTTCTAATCAAGCACAGAAGGGCTCTGTGAGGAAGGACAGAGAGAGATGGAATAACCTTCCCCAGCTTGTCAAACAGGCACGCTTGCCTCTCTCAAGAAAAGCTCTTTCTAAGCAGCTCTCCTTGTCTGGGATTCTCCTCCCTATCGGAAAAGCTTATCAGTCCTTTGATGGGCCCTGTTGGGATCTGGCTCCTGTGAACAGCCCAGAAAGTGACAGAGAGCATGAAGGAGGTGAGAGGAGATATATCCAGAAAGAGACTTCAAAGAAAGGCAGAGGGTGAAATAAAAAAGAGACAAAGAAGTGACTGACAAGCATTAGGCCTCACTCACCAGCCCCCAACCCCTCCTTGATATGCCCAAAATGGACTCACATGAAGGTTGATCATTTCTCCTTCCGATCCCATCTCTCTTTTTTCTTTTTTTCTTCCCAGGTTTTCTTTTCAATCCTCTCAGCCCGGACAAGAGACCAAGTCTCTGCAGCTTTCTGGAGTCTCCCAGTGCCTTTGCTGGGTGGGAGGGAAAGCACAGCTGCTGGAACAGACCTGCTATTCATCTGCATGATGTGGGACTCTGGCCTGGGCTTCAGCTTTTGAGGGCAGGGGGAGGAGGAGAGGAGAAGGGGTGGTGGTGGTGGAAAAAGTGGGCACACGGATCCTTTATTGTCTCTTAAGATGCTGAATGGCCCTCCTGTCATCATAGCCATGACTACATGTCTCCTTAGCTTCTGGGCCCAGCTGAGCCCTGTGAGGTCACTTGCGCTGCGATGCCGTTGTGCACACAATGTACCAAGAGGCTCAAGGCACAGACCATGCCAGTTTTCGGCACACATCCTAAATGCCACCGGCTGTTACAGACCCCTTGTGTGGAGATGGCTTCTATCACGTATGGTTGTTGACACAGTTACTGAGACTCTGTCACGCTCCTTGTTGACTAAGGGGGGAAAAAGTCACATGTAGCTTATGAAGCCCATATGATTATACTTTGGGGCTATTTCCAACACACCCAAATTTGGTTTGGGAATTTGCAATTAGAGTCCCCAGGTGCCAAGCTGAGTCATAGCCAAGAATGCAGCTCTGCTAAAGTCTCTCTTTAAAAAACACTCTTCCACCACCTGCAGTAGGAAGCAGGGATTTAGTTTTGCCCCAGAGCAGGTGGTGAAAAGAGTAGCAGGCCAAGAGGCTCAACAGCGGAGTGTTTGAAGCTTGGAGGTGGTGCTCATTGGAAAAGCACCTGCGGTGCATGCAGAGGGTCCTGGGTTCACTCTCCAGCAGCTCCAGATAAGTCTTGCAAAGATCTGTCTGAAACCCTGGAAGTGCAGATTAGGCGATACAGAGCTAAACTGAACCTATGGTCTGACTCAATATAAGGCAGCTTCCCATGTTCCTAGGGATGCTTACATGTTATATTCAAGTTGTGTACAATCTGTGTACCTGTGTACAAATTAGTTGAGCTGTACAAATCAACATGTATACCTCCTTTCACACAAACATTCATTCGTGTGTATAGACAGCTTGCGGCTGTGTTCAGTGCAACATTTGAACAAGCCGACAGAGTCAGACCATTGGTCCACCTAGCCTAGTATTGATTTTTTCAGAGTCAAAAGCAGATGTCTTTCCCCCAGCCTTGCTTCCTGAGCTTATTTTAATTGGAAATACCAAGACTACTTGCAAGGAAAGCATGGGTTCTCTCAAGGAGAGATGCAGCGTCCTTTGCCACTTCAGTCCTTTTCAGTCATTGCATTTCCTGAATTTACAACCCCACACCTTCCAACACACAATGTTTCCAGGGTGAAATGAACATAAAACACACCAGCAAAATGTCAAGTGCAGCAACAGCAGATAAAACAGCAGGCCTTATCTGAAAGCACAGCAAAACTAATTCACTAGCTTCCTCCACTAAAAATAGTATAGTCCAAAGCTTGGGGAAATGGTTGTGGTCAGGTGCTGAAATGACATCAAGGTAGGCACCAGGTGAACATCTCTGGGGATTGCATCCACTTTTTAGAAGTGGAGGCATGTTCTCAGGTTGACACCTCCATTCGTACTTGTCTTTTACTTGATGGGGACATTTTTGTGAAAAGGCAATACTTCTACATGCGTAGCATATTGTTTATTTAGGATCATAGGAAGCTGCATCATACCACAACATGTTTGCACTACTTAGTATTAGCTACAGTGACCCGCATTGGTTTTCCATAATTCCAGACAGGGCCCTACCTGAAGGTACCAGGAGCTGAACCTGGGAACTTTGCATGCAGAGCCTGTGATCCTTCGACTGAGCTGCAGCTTTTCTGATACTTTACTCACAATATTTTATATCCCAGGTGGCAAACATATATAGACTTCTTGCGGTAAGCGATGGTTTACTGTGAACACATGGATAATTCCTGCTTCATGGTTTCCCACCAGCGAGCTGGAGCAACAATCCTTGATTTAGCATTACATCCAAACTGGGGATCATACTTTGTTTTGCCAAAACAGATCATGTTTGATAAGCCAAGAACAAAGCTTGGCTTCAGATTGTGGTTTGTTGGGGGTGAAACGAATCATGATCCCCAGTGCAAACAGAACATTAAGCAAGGATCATGGTTTGTTGCTCCCACTTGAGAATGGGAATAATCTGCAAGGAGTTATCCACAAGCAGGTCATTATCTGCCGTTTCATAAGCCATTAATCATTGTTTACCATGACATGCAAATACAGCCATAGAGAAACAAGATATTGCTATCATACATCAAAAGAAACCAATGTATTAAAATCAACAAGTCAAACGCTATTGGGGAAAACAGTAACAATGAGAAATCTCTAGTAAAAACCCACACAGGACAATGGCTGCTGGAAAATATGGATCTTTGGTGAGCAATAGTACAGTCAACCAAGTTGCCTTTGTTATACAGAGTGTTTCATTGCCTTGGCACCACCACAAAAAAGCCCCTGTTCCTCATTCCCACCCAAAGTACTAAAAATTATGCTGAAGACACCCTCCCCCCCACCTGCAGATTGATGTTTGTTCTGATTCAGCAGTAAACAGTGAGCTTTCCAGGGGAAAGCAGTGGGACAAAAGAAAAACCTCTTCAACCCATGCCTAGAAATTATTGGAGAAGCAGAAGAAATCATGAGACAAAAGTGTGGATGAGCTTTATCTCAAGGTCCTTGGAGGAAAAGTTGGGATATAAATATAACAAACCATCATCATCGCAGGCTCTGATGGAATAACAAAACAAAGCATGGTTGATAACTGCAGGGAGGTAGACTATGTAAGTGGGAGAGAATAAACTGGGGCACTGAGGACACACACCACACCACAAGAACTATGGAACTTCAACCATTTCTAATATGATGTTTTCCCTACATCAATAGTACTTCTGTGTACGAGAAAGCATGCAAATCACATGTAGATCATTATGATCATCTACAAGCCATGAACATTTAATGGCTGTTAATGCCTCTGTCCTCAATGAACCTTTCAGCAGCAATAGAGGGCTGCTCCTTTGCTCTTGAATGGGCAGTTGTTGCAGAAGGGGATGAGATAATTGCAGGTATTGGTGGTTAATTTTGCAGATGGAGCGTTCTGCTTATTCCTTCTATGTGCTTAGATCAGGGGTGAGGAATCGAAGCCCGGAGACAAAATGTGGCCTCCAAGCAACTATGTTTGCCTCTTTGGACTCTCAAGAGGCCACTACTACTCCTGCACTCCCCAGGCCATATCCCTCATTGGTTCTGCTTCGTACTCTCCTTAAGTGCCTTTGCCTGGCTTGAATGTAGCCTTGAACTCTAAAAATGCCTCTATCATGCCTAGATGGAAAAAAGAAAGATGTACAACTAATCTTTTGCACAAAGGTAACATGTGCATCCTTTGCTTTGCCCAGCATAGCCCATGGGGAGGAGCAATGGCATGGCCATGTCAGGGTTGGGTGTGTGTGAGAGGGGGAAGGAAGAGGCGAAGGGTTATTGTTTTGGGAATTGGTTCGTACCAAGACTCAGGGCTAAGAGTTGTTATTCGGAACTATGCTCCAGCACACTCCGAGTGAAAAAAAGTGCCGTCATTCACCATATAAAAAACAGTTGGGAACCACCGCTTTACAGTACCCAACATAAAAATGAAGTTATAATGACACTTATCTAACAGGAAAGGGAAAGAGAAAGAGAAAGATAATAAAGGATTTTGATGGTAATATTGTGTCACTGTAAGAGTCACGCTAGTTCAACACTGAGGTCAACTTCAGAAATATATCATAATCTATGGCAATTTCCCTTTATTGCCTATGATTAACGTAGTTTACACTGGTTTTTATGGACACAGTAGATGCCAAACTGCAGCTGGTAAAGATTAAATGCTTATTCTACAACTGTAGCTGGGAAATATCAGTGCCTTGGAAATTCTAAATATTTGAACATTCAAAAATCCGTAAGAATTTAAAGACACCATAAAGTTAATGATGTAAGTCTTCCCCCATAATCTTTCTACATATTTTCTCATCCAGTTTTCAAACATTTAGGAAGGAACACAGAAAGCTGCCTTATACTGAGTCAGACTGCTGGTCCACATAGCTCAGTATTGGCTACACTGATTGGGAGCAGATTTCCATAATTTCAGACTGGGGTCTCTCCCAGACCTTCCTGGAGATGCTGCAGATAGGACCTGGGACCTTCTGCATATACTATCATATACTATATCCTATACTAAAATCCTGTAAACCAGGCTTCCTCAAACTCTGCCCTCCATATGTTTTTGGCCTACAACTCCCATGATCCTTAGCTAGCAGGACCAGTGGTCAGGGATGATGGGAATTGTAGTCTCAAAACATCTGGAGGGCCGAGTTTGAGGAAGCCTGCTGTAAACAGTCATTCAGAGTGATGGCTTGTCTACTAGGTTCCCCCCTTATGCATTGAATCCTCCTCTCCACTAGGGGCACAATAGTACAGGTCATGTTTTTAATTTCTTATTGCAGCTTCAGGGGAGGAAACCTAAGAACACTATCTGAAACACTGCTGCCAACATGCATGGCTAGTTTGTTTACAGCCACTGTTTTTGCATGAGGAGGTGACTGCATAAGGTGCAAGGCTGTGAAGAAACATTGTATTTGAGAGTGGGAATGTGCATCATATACCATAATTAAGGAAAAGTCTGGCTGAGTGAATTGCTGGCCTTCAAAGAAAATCACTATTATCTTTTCTGGCTAAGAGTAAGAAAGGAAGCAGTACTATCTGAAACACTAGGTCATTTAAAGTTTTGTGGTTAAACCATAAATTCCACTAGGGAATCAGGAGGAAGTGAGGAATGGGTCAAGCTGAAATAAGGAGAGGGTAATAGACGCAGAGTCCAGCTTTAAATTAACAGCTGAAATCTGCAGCTTTCTTTAGATTTTGTTTCTATCATGAAACAGAGTAAGCGAAGCCTGGAGAAATTAGAGGCAACTTTTGAACTGTGCCTTTGATCCACAGGTGAAGCTCTTCACAGACCAAAGTTTAATGGACAACTTCTCATGTGCTCTTTGTGCAAGCCC